GGTTTATGTCTTCTGAAGAAACACAATCGCTTTAAATAAGAAACAAATTAGGGTTTTATTCACATATAAACACTGATCAATGCACATACACAGAGCACATCAAATATGGTAAATGGAATATTAAACGTGCTTGCTCGTGTGTCTAGCAAAACCGCTCAAGTTATATGTAGTACTTTAACAATTTCTTTATAAACTTTTAGTAACACTTTACACTTCATACATAAGTTAACAGGGCTTGATATCGTCTCTCCGACAGCGAGTTACACACAAACCCGCCTCCCCTAACTCAGTCATTTGATTGGCTCCAGATGAATATTGTTGGTGTTACAGGGCTTGAATTTCACCATGGGATTACACCTATTGCTAATAATTTAACTTCTCACGTAAAGCCGCCTCTCAGTTCTAAATTGAGTTCTTTTTAGATGCTTATTGCGCATAAACAGTCAAATACACACAAAGTAATGGCAAAATGCCAGTCTTGGTACTCACATAAACACAGTTTGTTATGTTTTTAAGTGAACGTAAACAGTTGAGAAAGTAAACGCACGTGTAACAGTATAATGGATCCGTGCGTCAGGTCTTAAGTGACAGCAGCCTAATATACCTGCTGCCAAATCATGAGATAATGTTAAAATATCTACATGGCAGTATTCCCCTCCATGGTATCAATGTCAAAATTGTGGCCAGTGAAAATGCTGAGTGGCCAGTAACAGGGGGACTTTAATGTTAATTTCAACATTTAGTAATAAAATCAAAAAGTGCATCTGTTAATATTATTTAAAGGACCAACTTTAAATAATGGGACCTTATTGAAAAGTGTTGCCAAACCTTTTTGTCTGAAGCATTTACGTTTTGGTGGAATGGACTTTCAAAGGAGGGCCAACAATCTCTAAGGTTTCATTAAAATATCTTCATTCTTTCGAAGACGAACGAAAGTGTTATGAGTTTGGAACAACATGTGGGTGAGTAACTGCTGACCAACTTTTCATTTTTAGGTGAACTATCAATTTAATTTTGCAATAAAAAAAAAAAAAAAAAAATCAGTCCATTTTGATTGCCATTCAACTACAGTATTGGCGGAGTATTAGCTATTGCAGATGATAGAGTGTGTAATCAATCATACACACCCTAATTGATTGTTCTCTTCAAAGAACAAAGTATCTTTACATGCAGTACATGCCACTTCAACAAGCACACACACAGAAAAAAAAAAAGGATTGTCAGTCAGGGGCCAATAAAACGTAACCGAGCCAGGGGCAGAGAAAGCATATTATCATTAAGTCTTCTCATAGTCATGCTAAAAACCACAAATATTATTTCTACACAGCCCTCCTCCCCTTGTAATGACATAAAAGTCTAAACGTCTTCAATTGCCCCGTGTTTTCAGACCGTCTAGCGCTCGAGTGCATAAGAAAGCTTTCTGTTTTAATTGAACAGGCATGCTCCGGCGTGGAATCGCTTTCCTTCAAATGAGCTCCTAAAGTGACAGTTAGAAAGCGTTGTTAAAAGCGTTACGATCGCTTAGATTTGTGTTTACAAGCAGACAGAGAGACACTTGTAAAACTTTTAATGTGCTTTGAAAGACTCGTTGTGAAATGTCATTTTTGAAATCGTCTCGATTGTTATTCAGATCGTATAAACCGGGGCTTGTACAATAAGGCGTGATTAGCACGTCACATTTTTCTTCACACTTTTTTTAAACAACGTCATGTGATGAAAAAGGAGGAAAGATTTTCAATTCCTTTCCCACCGGCCTCAGAGTCTGTGTTTGTGTGTGTGTGTGTGTGTGTGTGTGAGTGTATTGGGTGGTCAGGACCCCTCTGCATTCTTCAGGCCGATCTACTGCCCCTGGGGCCGCCTGGCCTGGTGTATAATTGCCCTCCGCTACAGATAGTTACCAGCCTTCCCTGTCCCTCTCCTCTTCTCTTCTTCCCCCTGTTTATTCTCTCTGATTTCAGGCTCCTTTGGGTCATCATTCATCAATGGGGCCCCCCAGCCCCTGAGGACCTGACCAGGAGGCCCCTGTTACTACGCCTCCATAACCAGAGGCCATTTCTGATGGAGGCGCATTATACGGGGAACAAGAGAGCATGAAAATGCAGCACGAGGCAGGGGGTGAACGGCAGTGATTATTATATCCAGATAATCATTTCAAACAAATTATCATGATAATCAATCAATCGTCACATTTGAAGCACCTCGCCTCAGGGTTGCACAACGCCCCCCCTCCCGTGACCTGTAATGTATTTTGGGGCATAATCAGATGCCCTATGTACAGGGTTGCTTGAGATGATATTTTTACAGGAGCGGATTTTCCTGGTTCAGTTAAGCTAACATTGGAGATTCATCATTTCCCCTGCGGACAGACCTCCTCCTGCTGATGTTAATGGGTAAAGCAACTCTCCTTTCACCTTTCCATGAAAAGTGGTGCAATGTACTGAACCACATGGTTGAACGCTTAAGATGAAGGTACAATATGTAGTTTATCATAAAAGTATATATACACACATACAGTCTAACCAAATTTTATTCAGACACCTTCAACATTTCTCACATCATCACAGTTTATTCGCTATAGTTTAGAAAATGGTAATAAAATATGACAAGAACCCAGAGTTATCAAATCAGTTGATATTTCACTGGTTTTGGCCATCCTTCTGTTAGACTGTCTCACAAATTAATTATGTTGAATAGCTGTCAGCTGTTAAATTTAACTATTAGATCATACCAATTTTGGTCAACCAACTAGCAAGCAATGCTTAATTTTGGTTAGTCTGTGGTGTAAAAAGGTCACATTAGCAATTAAAGAAAAAACGCTTAAGCAAAACATGGTCAGTTCAAAGTGTTTTGGTCCCAACTTTTTTATAAATGTTACTGGTAGTCCACCGTATGAAGAATTTTTGGGTATAATATGTCACAGTTTACTTCATTTTGCTATAAATCAACTATAGTGTCCTGCTCCCACTAGTAAATACATCTAAAATATATATATATATCTGGTGTGTGAATAATTTTTGGTTTGACTGTATATTGATACATTTACTGACATTGACAATTGGTCTTGTGATCTTTCTATCAGACCATAATCATTCCTCGATAAAAACAGTGTAAGTTAAAATAACACTGGGCATTTTTTAAGTCTATGAGAGATCAGTCACAGCAGGGGCCACAAAAGCACTGATACCGTCTCAGAGAGCTTGTCAAAAGAGCCATTAATCTCTTTCCCATTAAAACATCAGCCGCCTGTTTTAGCTACATTTACAAAGCGAAATGTTTTAATATCCAGCCAGACACGCAGGCACAATGCCGGAGGCGATCTGTTTCAAATACAATTACAACACATTGATTTTCTATAATTAATCTATGTCTCAGTGTACTGTCATTGTCAGTTCACTATAAGCTTGTGTGTCACACACTCACACTTACACACACTTTTGGGACAAACTATGGTGGATTACATTTAAAAGAGCTCAAATCAAAGCTCAGGAACGTGTGTGTGTGTGTGTGTGTGTGTGAGAGAGCACTGGACAGATAGACTCAGATAGGCATCTCTGTTTCCGAGAGTGTTTGTGTTGTAAAGGAGGGATAACTGGTTAAAAGCAAAGGATAAATAAATAAAAGAAGCTCTTTTTCTTTTTGTATATCTGCCGGGATTTGACTTAAGAAATCTTTCAGCTCTCATAATAGTGTTTTTTATGTCTGAGCAGATGACACAGGATGTGAGAAAAATAGATGGATAATGTTATAGATTATCTGGTACAGACGTTTTCATTACATAACCTCAGGATGGGTTCTGCCCTCACACACACACACACACACACACGTTCTCTATATCTGAACTCACACACAAATAGACACAAATACTTGCTCTTATTTGCTGGCACATTAGCATATATTCAGATGTGTGACAGTGCATTTAGTCTATTAGGGTAGATGATGAGTGAGGCAGTTATTCATAACACCTCATGTATAATTCATGATATTAATAAGGATGCTTGGAGCATGTCTGATGAGGTTTTTTTTTTTGGTGACTCAACTTAGTGAATAAAATATGTCCTTAAAAGATCACATTAGTTGTGAAAGACTTTGATGTGCAACACAGTTTTGTTGAGAGGTCTCGTTAGTTTCGGGAGTCAGTTCATTTGGACAGTGGAATTGCTTTTTTTTCACTCAATATTCACACTATATTATTCTTAGAGGTCCCTGTTCAGCATATTTAAGTTAGATAGTGCCAAATGTCTAAAGTTGAGTTGAACTGATTGTTTCACAAACTCTCTGCAAATTGGTCAGTGTGAATAATAATATAAAAGAAAAAGTTCAAAAGAAAAGGTTCATTAAACATGAATCAAACGTACTGAAATCAAGATGTACCACAAGAAAGAAAGACAGAAAGAAAGAAAGGAACAATGAAAAAAACGAATTTCACTTTTTATATATATATTGCTAACTAAAGGTGAAAATAAATGTATTCAACTCTTGATACTCTTCGGAGCTACAGACTGGTTCTCCTAAAGCCAACCACTATGGCCAATCAATCTGTTTGTTCTATGTAACCTATTTATTTCTGTCCCGAACCGGCTTAACTCAGTACAGAACCCCATGGGAGATGTCCTAGCCCTCCACCTTCCCCAGCACCACCTGCCTAAATCTGCTCGGGGGTTCTTCCTACTTTTCTTACAGCAGATCGCATTCTATTCACTGTATTGATGTCCATGTTGTGGCAGTAGCCTTCACTCATGCAGCAGCAACATTGAAGATCTAGGCTCCCAAGACTAAGCCTGTACATTCCATTCATATCAATAAATGCTGTTTAAATCTAAATATATATAAAGATACTCCCTGTCGCTGTGATTACCGGTAATACATTTATGTTCACCTTCGGTTAGCATAAAGAACCCTATTAACTGCAGTTTCTCATTTTGCTCTTGTGTTGTTCTTATGTGTGTGTGGTGAGATCAGCATATCTGTAAAGAGGGATGGAATGACAAAACAAATCCTACCTTTTTAATACAGCTGTCTTGAGACGACGTTTCATGATCATTCAGCATTTGCTGTGAAGACAAAAGACAGTTAATGATTAGCTTCTAAACATTAGTTAATGATTACTAATGACTACCATCAAATACAACATCATGTCATTTTTATGGCCTGAAATCAGCACTTCATTGACTATTCAAAAGACTAATGTACCATTTTACACTAAGGACAAGTGTTTCAGAAGGTTTAAAAACTTTGGTTACTTTTGGTTTGCCAGAAAGAAAACATATTAATATTTGACCTGTAAAAGTGCCCATATGATCATGTTGGTGTGATACTGCTTTTGCGGGTGGAGGTACAGTACTTTTTCAATGGTAATTGTTAGTATGCCATAAATGCTCCTTATAAAGATTTAGTTCAGTGTGAACCAGAATATTCTAAAGACTGTGACTAGCTGAGATTAGATGTGGGCTTTGAAACGTGTCAAGAAGTGAGTATTAAATGGCTACTGAGTGATGAGTCTGGCGTTTGAATCTAAACCCCCCGCTGGGCCGCCACTATAGCAGCACAGGTTAAACCATCCCGAGTGTGATGAAGTGAATGCTGAAAAGTTTTAACCTAGACAGTTGGAGGGGAGATGTGGAATTAAAGGGCCTTCAGGAATATTTATATAGAGTGGGTTTTGGAGAATGCACCCAGTGTCCTGCTCATATGAGAAGCGAGCTTGTTCCAGGTTTGGAGATAATGGGACCTCGTATGAATCTCAGTGGCCTTCATTCAGAGTAGAACAGGAAGAGGCTGTGCGCTGGGATTATTGGGAGCGTATGCAGGTTTTAAAGTAATCTGCAGTGCCCACAGCCCACCCGTTTCCTGTCTCATCCTCTGAATGAGGGGTGTGTGAGCGTGTGCAAAGGTTCTGATGGATTCTTGGATTGAATCAGACAGTTGAAGATTTCAGATGGGCTAAACCACAATGAGGTGAGTCACATATTTTTGATAAAGGTAGACAGAAGGACAGTTGTCTAGCTCAGAGGTGTACCACCTCCTTTGAAATGAAAGGTTTCATTTGTTAACATTAGTTAACAAGGCTTGACATCGTCTCTCCGACAGCGAGTTACACACAAACCCGCCTCCCCTAACTCAGTCATTTGATTGGCTCCAGATGAATATTGTTGGTGTTACAGGGCTTGAATTTCACCATACGATTACATCTATTGCTAATAATTTAACTTATTCTCACGTAAAGCCACCTCTCAGTACTAAATTGAGTTCTTTTTAGCTGCTTATTGCGCATAAACAGTCAAATACACACAAAGTAATGGCAAAATGCCAGTCTTGGTACTCACATAAACACAGTTTGGTATGTTTTTAAGTGAACGTAAAAAGTTGAGAACGTAAACGCACGTGTAACAGTATAATGTATCCGTGAGTCAGGTCTTAAAAGTGACAGCAGCCTAATATACCTGCTGCATGAGATAATGTTAAAATATCTACATGGCAGTATTCCCCTCCATGGTATCAATGTCAAAATTGTGGCCAGTGAAAATGTTGAGTGGCCAGTAACAGGGGGACTTAAATGTTAATTTCAACATTTAGTAATACATTATTAAAATCAAAAAGTGCCTCTGTTGATATTATTTAAAGGACCAACATTAACTAGTGGGACCTTATTGCAAATAACCCGCTTTTTTCCCTTTATAAGTCTGCCATTTTTGGTTTAATAAATGAATTTTATAAAATTAATAATTCCTTATAAATTAGAAATAATAATTTAATTAATTTTCTTTAATTAATTGTGTTCCTATAGCCAATATTCACATTTAAATTTAAAATAAAAATGCAAACAAGCTGGCATTCTGTCTTCAGTCTCTCAATATATATATATTTTTAGATTTTATTTTAGCTGACATAACACATACGAAAAAATGAATGTGTCAACCCTGTTACCATAAAAATAACGTGACATTCCATAAAAAAATAAAAAAAAATCTTATTTTTTCAAGAAGTACACTGCAAGGAAACGTCTGCAAATGCATCATCACGCTTATCTTTTGTTTTGATTATTTAATTTATGTGGTAGTTATTTGATTATTGATTGCTTCGAGTGATGATGACCTTAAACACAACACTAGCATGGCCAAATAAACACAGAAAGACCCTTTAATATAGCATACATCTTGGTTTTGCACGTTCCATTTGTAAGTAACCAGTGAATGAGGTGAATGTGATTGCAAAGGTGAGTGAGTGAGTCACTGAGGGGGAAAAGCAAACAGAATAAGTGACTCTTTTACAGAATACCCTCTACAGTCTGTACCGCCTTTATCAGGGTTTGATTGACAGCTCTGCAGACTGCCCAAAAAACTGTGGTTCTCTAAATTAGGCTGTCAATGTATCCAAGCCGCCCGAGTGGAAGCAATTACATCACAAATACTCAAACAAGTCTACTTAAACTACTTACATCCATAATTCAATCCTGCAGCGATGTCAGAGCAGCACGTACAGTATCCAAAACAACTTTAGGCTTCTGCCGTGTTCACATGAACCCCAACCCTACATATCTACATATTCCTTATTCGGTTATTTGTATTTTTTTTTCTCATTCGTGTCTTTCATTTTTTCTTAGCAATAATCTCACACATGCACAAGTACATACACTGTGTGCAATCACATGCACACCTCAGCACGCGCCACACACACACGCTTACTGAAGTATAGTGTGTGTAGTGCAATTACTCTGCAGTTTGCTGCCAGACCAATGCTCCACATTTGCTCTGGGAAGAAGGTGAGATAGTTTTTCCTTTTAGAGTTTAAAGGTGTTAGAAATTGTTGAATTTCATGGAAATTAATAATGTAACTAAACAAATAGAGCCGAGAGTTGTGAATTGCTGGTGGGGTGATGAGAACGTGTGAAACAGTGTGACAGATTCATAAACCGAGTTCACAGCACAACAGCTCTGCTTAGATTGTAAAACACTACCAGGTGCTCTCAGGTAAGTGAATAGTTTCATGCCAGACGTAAATACGCATATCAAATTATGCAAAACAGACCCAAAACTGTCAAACGTGCTCCAAACACACAAATTCTTGTTATATATACATTTCTGTCTTGTGCTCTTTCAACTCATTCCACTTTCTTTCTTTTTTTTTTCAGGTGAATGCAATTTTCTCAATGACTGATTGAATGGTAAAGTCATTCAGAAATTTGCTGAATCTGGCGAAACATCAGACATTCTTATCCACAATCAATCAATGATATTTATATATATATATATAAAAAAAAAGGTTTCTATACTAGGGTTAGGCTGTGTTAATCGGAAGTTCTTTTTAGTTTTACATAGATTTCAGTAGTATGTCCTTACTGAAAAATCTGTGTGTTTGTGTGTGTGTGATTATCTACATGTGCTTCGGCACTCGGCCATACAAATGACTTACACTCACGTGTATGTGTGAGTGTGTCAAGCAAATAAATAATGTATTAATTAGACGTCTGGAAAATATGATTTGCCACAAGTGCTGGTGTGATTTATGACACGTCAGAATCATTTTAACTTTCCTCCCTTTTTTTCTTTCTTTGGCGACAGGACAATTTGTGCCACAGATAGAGAGGGAAGAGAGTGAGAACGCTTTCCCCAAACAGACGTAAAACGCACAATTGAACCTCTCACAAGCTTCTCGAAACGTTTGCTTACACAAGTTTGTCAGGGTTTCTTATGTAAATGAAAATCGCTGTGAAGCTCTAGTGATTAGCGTGTCATGCTGACAGTGCTCGAAAGTGTCCGAAAACAGAGGCACTATGGTGGAGAACTGTAAAAATAAATACGAGAAGCCACCTGTGCAGTGATTCAACGCGAGAGTCTGAAGCAAATTAGCACTGGGGAGTAAGTGTGTGTTGTTATTACTGTTATAAGCCCACCTTTGTTAGCAGGCACCATCAGGACTTCTTCTTCTCAACCTCAACCCTATTTATATTGACACACAGACTGAACAAAAGAAAACAAGCTCACAGCACACATCCTAGCAACATTTTCCAGCACAGCTGCCCTAATAGACACACGACGGACAAAGAAAACAGTGCTTGGCCTCACAGGCTGGATTTTCCTGTGCTTTGCGTGACACCCAACGTTGAAGAGAAGACGGCCTCGATCACGTCTAACAATGAGTCCTTGTCGCAGGCTAATTGGACTTGGATCTAATTGCAATTAGAGAAGCTCGGTAAACCTTTGGTGAGCCAACTAAGCAGTTTGTCTCCCAGCTTGACGTTGGGGGTATGGAGTAAAACAAGCACATTTTAAGGGCTTTGCAGAGGGAAAATTTCAGAGAACGTTGCCAAAAACAATTCCCCTCAAGTCTGGATAATGTGAGGCAATATAGAAGCGCGGCCAATAGATGGTTATGGATGTCAAAAGCCACAAGTTTCCAAAAAAGAACCAGTAGAGCCCAACCTCAAGGCCTTTTGAACCGAGTGAGTGACATCCTGTTGGCTCAGACGACCACACTAAGTAAGCCACAAAGTGAAAGTTTTGCTTCGCAGTTATTGAGAATGTTCTCTCGTTTTTTGGTGTGTGGAGAGTTTAGATATGTAAATGCGTGATTGTTATTGATCTTGTCAATTAATGCGGAAGCGGTCGGCGCTCAGTTTGTGGCAGATGAATCTGAGATATGACTGCAGGACAAGAGAGAGGTTTTAGAAACTGGGGTTTGCGAATTCTGGAGCTCATTGTTCTAGTCTGAAACAGAACAAAACCATGATGTCAAACATAATAAATCGGATTAATTACTGTGGTAACGCACACATATCTAAACCATTTTGCTAAAGGGTGTCTAATCTTCTAAATGCATGCATGCTGCACAACCTGCAGGCTCATTGGAAAAACGTGCCTGTGTTGACATTACCACAAAATATTATTACGTTGTTTCTTGCACGCATTGCGACTTTTTCAAAGTGAAATGTGCAGTGAGTAGTGCTAAAAGCCATTACATTTTCCTGAAACTGATGAACGTGAATCTAGGAATGTTTTATGACATTGGTCGTTATACGAATTGCGGCAGTTCAGTAATGAAATGTCCAGTGAGT